TATGCTTTTGTTCTATAATATGCTACATATTCATAATATTAACTACATATATTTTTTAATGGCCGATAGCGAAACAATCTATCTGTTGGATATGAAGCGTTATCTGCCATCTATCAAGGTTTCTACATTGGCACCAATCCAGTGCTTATTTCATATACATTTATAGTGCCAACATTTGGTATCAATTTAGTGGACACGTTGCCTGCAGCTACGTTAACACGAACTTTGCGGAACTTCAAGTAGCTGTGATTTAATTTTGTCTCCGGTCACCGTAATGGTTCGGTTTGGTTACATATCAAAGGACATTCGCAATTTTGCGTAGCCTTCTAGAAAACAATCTCTCACCCTATGTCTAATATGGTATAAGCGTAAATTTAATCATATAAGAGAAGTTAATCTTTTGAGGAAACCTCAGAGAGAATGCAGCGCGGGATACAGTTGTTTTAGGTTATGGCGTCAATACTTATACCTTCTGTATTAAGTTCGCGGGGACACACTCATCGCCTGGGATGACTTGAGATTCGCCCATATTTTATTATACATGTTGATTTATAGTCATTTTTTGAATTGATTTATACTTGTCTGTCCGTCTGTCTGTCAGTCTGTTCTGCTTTCTTGTGTTCAACCTAAAAGTCGAAATTTTTGAAAATATTTTGTTGAACATTTGGTATACCTGCGTGTTTTGGCCCAAAGACGAAGGCTATTGAACATAGTTCGAATCGGCCCACCTTTTCGACCTCTTCACACATAACGCCTTATTTTAAAAAGTCGTTTTATAAATAACTGTACACTAGTGTGCGAAATCTAATGGTGGGCCGTGTCTCACTATAGTGTTTTCACTAGTTTTCATTTAATTGGTTCTCCTTTGTTAGTTTCGGAGAATTTCAACACCATACACTCTATTAGAAGGACAGATAAACTATACTTTATTTAATATTCGTTAGCTATGGTTAGATCATCTGCAAACTTCTTCGGGATCTTTGATAAAATTTCCCTGCTTATCGTCTGCCAATGAACTGAGTCCGCATTTGATAATTATAAGCTTGGTTACTGCAAAACTTTCTATCGCGTAAAAGTAATTGCTTTGTAGGTGGGATTCAATAAAGAAGTAAACGTTTGTTTAAAGAATTTTGAGGTTTCAACATAATGACAACATCCTACAGTTGAGCAAGCGGTTCTGGTAGATCCAGATACACAACAGGAAAATTGGATTTTCGATAATATATATAAGATCATAATGTTTTGTATATATATATTTTTTTTAATATGACCAATCATGCAGGAAATGTTCCTGATTCTATGGGGGAATTCTAGTCTAAGTAATTTATCTATCGTTTATAACGTGCAATGACCTTCGCATGATTACAACCAACAACCATGGCAAGAGTAGGTAATGGGACGATATTGACCCAACTGTTCGAAAAGTTTTGCCTGATGTTTTCATCGTAGCAATTAAAGTTGTTTTCACTGCGGCTAAACGTTTCACGTCTAGACGTTGTAGGCAAAAGGGACATAAGCCTCGCTTCTTTCTGGAACTTTACTGAAAGTTGTGTTATGGTTATATTTTAATTGAAAGTCTTAACTACTTTTAAGTTTCATATCATGTTCACAACTTTCCCTTTGACAATTTTGCCAATGAAATAATTTACTTGATATATCCCTGTTAAGAAGAACAGGGAAGAAGGATCTAAGACGATCCAAATTTATTTTATTTCGATTCAAAATAATTTTTATTAATTTATCTCGAGTTTTCCACTGTTTTTAAAAGCTTTCATTCGTGCAGAGGTCTGTATCTGTCTCTCTTCTCTCTTCTTCTCATATTATTATCCATTGGGCTAACGGTGTAAAAGCAATTATGAAAACAACACTCTATCATGGTGTTATAAGAGAAGCCTATAAAAAATCATTCGATAGTTGTATTAGACGCCGGCATTAATAGGTTGCTCCAGATGGGCTATGCCGTCTACGATGTTGACATAAGTAATGCGCGTTGGGTGAAAAAACTCTCCTTGTATTCGAATAAATGAAATGATGATCATAGTGAAAGCGTATAGAGAATCAGAACTTTCCTATAGAGCTGACCCGTAACAGTCGCCAGGCTTAACTAAGTTCTGTGTGTTAGTAAACCTCTCACATATTTATCTGAAAATGAAAGCGAGTGATGTTATGTTATAATATAACTTATCTCTGCTGAAATGGTAGCATTTATGCGCTTAAAAACAAATGGTTGCAGCAAGAGTAATAACAACAATTTCGAGGATTTTTCGTAGTTTTCTCTACTTCTTCGTTGTGAAAGCTTACTAATAGTATTGAGAGTGTTTGGTGCAATAAGTTAATGGCAAAGAAATCTCTACGCATATTTCTACAATGGGGCAATAGAGACTCATTCGATGGGGATATGTGTGATGAGGAGAATGTAGCGCGCGAGTGGGGTAGGCAGAGAGTAGAGAATGAGCCCGAAAGATGGTAAGAGAGGCGATGATAGTTTAAAAGAGCAAATCTATAGTTAAACTATAGTAAAAGTCATATAGCTAAAGTATCAACAGCGTAGCGGTAGTTTTTTTTTTTTTTTCATTTTCTTTTCAACTTAACAGGAAATTCCTTTTCATGTTTTTTCAACCAACAACAACAGCATAAACATCAAATATGACAAAAACAAACGGCTATGCGCTCCCTATTCTATACTGCGAATAAATACATATATATATATAGATATAGATATATATATTCCATTGGCTTCTCGTTGGCTGTGGTTTCACTGGAGGAAAACTTTTGTTACAAACAATATCACTTTAGATTTTTGTCATTTCGTTTTGAAAACGTTGTGCTTTCTATTTCTTTTTCTAGTTTTTTTTTTTTTTTTTTTTTTTTTGCTTTTTTTGATTTCTTTTTGTTTTTTTGGTTTTTTGCAGTTTGGTGTTATTATTATTATTATTGTTGTTGTTGTTGTTGTTGTTGTTGTTGCTGTTGTTTTTGAAGCATTCGTTGTTGGGATTATGCAAAAAGTTTTTCATTAATTTCGGATATTTTTTCGCGTACTATTAAGTTCAGGCACTGCGACGAACAAAGTTTGCGCGCCATACCATTTTCAAGAGTTTACCAACGTAGTGTTAGGAACGCCAAACAATTTTGTTGTTGAGGCAACTCAGTGTGGCTATTATATCTGTTCGCACACAAAGCCATATACAAATGCTCATAAAAGTTCACATAGTACATATGCAGGCACATCATATATATATATATATATATATATATGTGTATGTTATATTTATCTCTCAAACCCGTTATATACACTCGCATACGTATATAGTATATGCTGTGGTTCACTTTGAAAAATATTTGCGGTATCGAGTAGGGAAAAAAAGAAGGAATATAAAAAGTGGGGGAAAAAAAAAACTTTTGGTTTTGTTGACATTAGTTTTATTATTTGTTATTGTGTTGCTGTAGAAATTTGTTCAAGGAATAAATTTTCAAAAAATTTTTTGTCCGCATTTATTTTACAATCGCTTCTTTGTTTTATTTAGCTTATACTTGTATACTTTCGGGTTTGCTCACATTCACTATTATCTCTCGCTTACAGCAAATAGCTGTGCATGTAAGCAGCCACATATATAAACACTACCTCATACAGATCTTGTTTGTAACCTCAACAATTTCTTTTAGTTGTTGGTTGCTGCTGCTGATAAATTCATTGGTTTTACATGTAAAACTTTCGTTTAACATTTCTTTCTTTCTTTTTTTTTTTTTTTTTGTTTGTCATATTTTTTTTTTCGTTTTTCATTTTTTCATTTTTTCTTTATATAATCCTTCTATCTATCTCCACCAGTCTGTTTCATAACATTTCACTTCCTTCCCCATCTTTAACCTTTACGAAGTTACTTACTTGCTTTTAGATGCGTGTGTGTGTGTGTATTTCGTACAATTTTTCGATGAATTTTACAGTTTTTCTGATTTCTTTTTTTTTTTTTTTTGCCTTTCTTTCATTCCTTCCACTGCTAGAAGTTTCTTGTTATAGTTTGTTATAGTTTTCCTCAATTCGAAGTTTTTTCCTTTCGTTTTTTTGTTCTTTTTTCATTTTTTGCGACCGGCTAAGGGAATTGGGTTTTACTACTGGTTTAATGTTTCCCCTGGGAAAAGTTTTGTTAAAACAATTCAACATTGAGAAATTTGTGTTTTATTGATATATCGTTAGTAAGTTTTTCATTTTTGTTTTGCTGTTAGCAAAAGAAATGCGTTTATTTCCCGTCGCTTCCTTGCATTTCTGTTAAATTCTTTGATTGCCAGAAAAATTTGCGGAAATTGGTTTTATATGAAAATAGGGATCGTTTTTTTGTTTTTGTTGCACTTGTATTAAAAGCATTTTCTTCTTCTTCTTCTTCGGCTGCTTAAGTATAGTATGTTCGAATCATTTCTTCTACATTTTTTCCCCATTCCCCCCGTTTGCAATGAATATATGGCATATGTTTCGAATTATAATAAAAATATCAAATTTCTTATGATAAGAAAGTTTTGATTGATGAAGTTTGGCTTCGCAAAATTCTTATTGCTTTCAATCGGAGAAATAATCATTACATGTAGAAACTATATGAAATGAAAATTTCGATTATATATATATGAATATATTATATATCTATACGATTGTTAGAGAGTATCCGAACCTTTAAAACAAAAAAAAAAAAAACAAAAAAAAATTATACTGGGACAAGGTCCATCATTTAATACCTTATTGTGACTTTTCAAAATAATTTGTTATATGAGAAGTGATCGAAAAAGTGGTCCGATTCGAACCAGCTTCAATAGCACCTATCCCTGAGTCAAAACAGGCCGCTGTACCAGATTTAACTGAGTCGATCGGTATAACAAAAGGTGGATCTATGTGAAGTCCTATTTGGAGTTGCATATATGCGCCTCCTTCTACCGTAAGTGATGGAGAGAAGAAAAATTCTATTTCTTACCTTGATATGACCCTAACTGCTCTTCGTTTTTTTTTCAGGTGGGTACACCTTTTTATGATTATTTGTAGGAAAGCTATAGTAAAGTTTGGTTCTTCACGAAACGAAGAAAGGTTCTTCTCGCTTGAGAAAGTTATACATAATTACAATTATAAATATAATTATATTTACAAAGGAATATTATCCATCAAAAATGCTCATCATTTTCAGAAGTTATACGTCCCATTTTGGGGACACTTCGTTCATTTTGTTGTTATGTTATGCTTGCGACCTCTCCCCATCTTTCCGTCCGTATCTGTACGTACGTTAATAAAATGAACGCGTAGCATGTCTTGCGGTTTCTAACAAGAATTCCTTATGATAGCATAATTCTTGAATATTCAAAAAATTTTTGTTCACTAACCCATAGAAAATAACAAATATCTTTCCAAATCCATCATCCTACATCATCATCCTACAATGAAGAACAATGTAGCTATTAGTTACATCATTTCATTATCTCTCGTTTGATCTTCTAATATCGTTGCGGAAATTTCAAAAACTTCATTATTTAACCGTTGCCACCTACCCGTATAGATAGTACTGCTAGAACTCTCTCTGTGAAATTAGATTATATTTCGTTGTATTTATAATAAATTTCTTCGAACGAACCGCTGGAAAGTTCTGGTGTTATACCCCAGTAAACACTCACTGAGTAAGGGTATAACACTCATCGATTGCACACGCACCCATTAGGCTACCGTCCCTTCCATTTCCAAAGCGCTTGGTTAGATTAAACTAAGAAAAAACATTTCTTCGTCAGACATGAAAACACCTTTCAAATATGGCTTCCATCAAAAACAAGCATTTTTTGATCGCTTAGAGAGAAGAAGAAATGATGCTATTTTGCTTTTGAGGGTGAGCTGCTGTTTTCGGTTGAAACCAAATCATTTACATCAGTTAGCAAAAAAGACGGTGACACATGTTTGTTGAGATTGGCCCAATATGTTATTAATGAGTAATAAACAACCAAACACTCAAACACATTGCCAAGTATTATTAGACCATTTCAGTAAAATTTCCAAACGATGAAGTAAACACTTAGCGATTAAAAAATGCAATTAGTCATTGCATACAATGCAGCCGAAGCCTTACTTTTTCTTCCAGTTTTTACATTATATATGGAATCGAATCTGAACTTGAAAGAAAGAGAAAAAAATGACAATCCTTTTAAGAAAATGTATTTACTTACAGTAAATGAAGGGTGAACATCACCTTGTGTTTTCTGCCTACTTCTCTTGTCAGCTTAAATGAATCCCCTATATATTTGAGAAAGGAATTAAGAGGATACGGCGTTAGAGAGAAGGTAGGCGCGGCTTTAAATCAAGAAGCGAAAAGCCAACTTCATGAACATAGTCGCGCACTCTAAGTGTTGGAATTTTTTAGACCTAGATTTCTTGAAAGAATCATGAGTTATTGATATCTTAATCTTGACGCAACGACGTGACATGCCCATGGAAAGGCCGCATCAAGTAAACAAATTATTTTGCAAAAATTATTCCTTCTCAACTTTTTTCTAATTAAATCTAAAGTTATACGATTTTGACAAAAGTACGTTATTATTTAAATATGTCGAAGGCTTAAAATTAATAAAATTTTTCATATTTTCGGTATATAAATTTAGAAGCATTAACCGATTTTTACTGGACTCAAAATGGGATTAATTACGTTTTAATTAAATCTCTTCTATAGCAAGCTATCATCCTTTATGGTATAAGGATATTTTAAGCTTGTGCTGAGTATACAACACCGAGAGGGAATTAAGAGAGAATCACCTTTCGTTACAGTAGTCGATTCAGAAACATTTTCTGATTAGATATAAGTTTGTCTGTCCATTCGTCCGCCAGATATCTTTCCATTTCTATTCCTCTGTTCAACTTAAGGGTCGTATTTTTGGAGATGTTTTGATGAACTTTGGAATACCGACGCGTTGCGACCCAAAGACGACCGCTATTGAAAATGGTTCGGATCACTTATTTGATCATTTGCCATATAAGTCCGTATCTTAAAAATTCGTTCTATGAATAACTGTATTTAGCGAAGTGGTGTAGGGTCTTTAGTAGTTGACCGTGTCCCATTACATTTGCTTGTTATATAAATTTAGAAAAATTAATCTTGCTTTTTTGCGCACATTACCGTTTAATTAACTTTTTTGTGGATCTCTTTTTTCTTCTTTTTAAAAGATTTGTCTTTTTTATAACCAATCGTCGAGCGTACGTACATCATACGCGTAATAAGATCTGAAGATAGTAAGGAGAGAGAAATGGGAATTGGTCATGGCCTAGGAGTTCCGTGCTATGTCGGAAAGGGCTCTACCATTACGATATGTTGAACCTTCGTAACAGACGGTCTTCGGTCAATGACGTGTTTTTTTTTGTTTATTGTCGATTTCTATTAATTATCTAATAAGGTGTGTATTGACTTTTTGAATCACTCATATAAATACATTTAAACGTTGAGATGTGCTAAGAGTTTGTAAGAAAGTTTTTCGCAGACAAATAATCGATTTTTGAGAATAAATTATATTTTTCATTGTTAGCACAGGAAAGGGTTTTAAATGACTTGCGCATAGATAGAATTGTAGTCGCAATTATCGCTTCTCTCTTTCCAACTTGGCTTGAATTTGTGGTAAACTCTTTCCCGAAAATAAAGCCAATCTTGACTGATCGATATAGTTTTAATAAAACCTATGAAAAAAATATATGAAGCCACCACCTTCATTGATATCATTGCTAATTGTCTGTTTTAATCGAAAATCAGTTTCAGTTCAGGCAAACAAAAAGTACACACTTGAAATAGAGCTATTGATGATGAGCAGCATATGACCATGAAATGAGTGACGTCAGAGCGCATTGTAAATTAAATAATGTGGTATGCAAATATTTAAGTTGAATTCAAAGCGTTTAACTTTGCGCGTACTTAGTAAGGTTTACGTTTCAAAGAAGAATGTAAATGATATATGAATGTTTCTTCTACACTCTGTTTATTCCGTTCTATAACCATTATCTTCAAGAACAACGTCTTTGTAAGGAGGTGGTGGGGTCATTGGTCTTTGTCTCTCGCTAACTGATGCTGACGATTCAGAGGAGAGAAAATCTTCAGTTTGAGTGTTTGTTTCGTCTTCTTCCCTATTGACCGCATAATTTGTTTGCCGTCCTTCAACAGGTTGTGTCAAATTTGTTAAACGATTGTTAAGCAAATTACTGCGGCTTAAGCATCTAATAAGTGTTGCGGTATTTCGATTAATGCTACGATAGTATTGGTGACGGGCCGGACGCCCAAATAACCGTGAAATAAAATTTTCATGCAAAGGACCGTCATAACGAACAACAGTTCGTTGACGATTTCTCTCACTGCGAGAAAGTCGATTATTTGCGGTTGTAATTTCACGAGCTGACTGCTCATGTCCAGGGTTTAGAGTTTCCCGGTCGTTCATTCTTCGGTTGGAGGTTTCCGGTAAATTATCTAAAAATATTTTTTAAAGTGAGATGCCATGTTTTAAACCTTAAAGAATTGTCTTAATACCTGTGACCTTGGTAGTTTTACTGAAGCAAGCCGTAATAGCCAAAGCGCAAACAATCATAGAAAGTGCTGTGGTTACGCCAACAACCAAGCCTAATAGGAAAGCAAATTTTGCATCATTTTGCTTATCACATAATTTTGTTTCACTTTTGATTTCTTCGTCATCTTCAGGAAAGATGAAACCACTTCCTTCGTTTACGGCGTTCAAATAATTCCTCCATTGTAGGGCATCGATTTCATTGGAATCTTCTTCTTGATCGTTCGAAACTGCTTCTGGTGAAATTATTTTCTCAAATTTATGCACATGATGCAATAGATTCGTATCTTTATCGACTGTACAAGAATCAATACTCAATTCGATGCCTTTATATTGCAATTGTTTTATATTCTCTTGTAGCTTTTTATTGCATTGCAAAGGATTTTCATTTATTTCCAAACGCTTTAATCCTATCAACGCATTAAATGTCTCAACCTCTAAATTAATCAATAGATTTTGACTTAAATCCAATACTTGAAGATTGGGTAAATTGCGAAAAATTTCCTTGTCTATAAAATGTAATTGAGAGTTTCTCAAGTTTAGCGAATGCAAAGAGAAACTTCGAAGCATTGAACGAGCGGGTAAAGACATCAGTTTATTGCCTTCCAAGTTCAATTTAAATAAATGGGGATTTCTTTCAAATAAACGCTCATCCAACTGTTCCAAGCGATTATATGACAAGTCCAAATCATATAATAAATAAAGATTATTAAATGTCTCCAAGGAAATGGTGTGTAAAGCATTGTGAGATAAATTGAGATATTGCAGGAAATGAAAATTCTGAAATGAGCTCAGAGAAAGGAAAAGAATAAATGCGATTTTATTTTATTTAATCTCTTTAGTTCACCATTTACCTTAAAGCAAATTTCATCCACTTGACGTATGTCATTGTAGCTTAAATCTAATATTTGCACAGAACTCGGAACATCTACAGCAGCATTGACCAGATGTTTAGCACTTTAATTAGGTAAACAATTTTTCTCACTTAATTTCATTTTACTTTGCGCAGTAATAAAATGTTATTAATTCACCTGCATGTTGCCCTATTGAGATTAATATATAAATCACATTTACAAAATCTCGGGCATTTGTATAATTTATTCTCTAATGATTTCTTAGTCAATGTTATTAATATTGTAAATAAAATAAAATATTTAAATGCATGTAAATAGCGCATGTTTTTCATTTTTCTATCGGCTTAGTTTTGAAATATTTTCACTATGTTTTACTAATTTTTCGTATGAAATTTTTTATCTTGTAATGGTTTTGCTTCTCTGTGCAGTCTATTCATGTTTAATCACAAAAATTAACTAAATTGAATTTTCGAACCCCAACGATGAGTAATTGTAATTATCTCTATCCCATAAGTAAAAAAAAGAACTACAGAAATTAAAGCGATTTAAGTGCATTTCCTGATACTGCTCTAACGTCATTTCAGTCACAGATGTAATGACTTAATAAGTCTCTATTATAACTAAATTGTAATTCTCCCTCCTATATACGGAAGATCTTCTTCCCTTTATGCGAAATTCTTTCCTTAGTCGCGTTACTTAATAAGTATCCTATGTGATGTGTGTGTGTGGCATTACCGTTGACTGGCCCACATGATTTCCGGACGGTGTCGAGCCTCTGACGATACGTATCCAAATTGCATGGCATTCTAATGATTAGTTTACAAGGTATCACTGTTTTAGTGACTCAACTTTTATAGTTTCCTGAACAATAGAAAAATCTTTACTTTACGATTAGAAAAAATACTGTTAACTATCAGCGTTGGCTTGGAAGATGTTATGGCATCTGTTGTCTGTCGAAGAAATAAGTTTACGGGTGGTTTGATAATTTAAAACAAGGTCGTAGGGACATCGATGATGATGAAAGCTATGGTCATCCGACTTCGTAGTTGATGCATTTAAAATATCAAAAGGCAGCGTATTTAATATTTTGCATGACTGCTTGTCTCTTCGAAATGGATGTGGTGTTTGCTCACTTTTAACAATAAGTTGTTGCTGGTTCAGAGCGATCTTTGGCCCTGTTTAAGATAAATTATGTTTTTTATATGCTACAAGTGTTAATGAGTGAAATATAGCCTCATCACTACTTTCTAGAATTAAACTGGCACTCAACCGATTGGACAACCGTTCAAAACCATCCAAAAAGTAGCGCCGCAAAAACCGTTGTGACTTGTTCATTAATGGTCGAAATGTAATGAAATCTGGACACTTACAGCTGAAAGGCTGTCACTGTGCAGACACGCTATGAATCTGCCAGCAGTGTTGCCATGTGTATGTCTTATTGAGTGAAGTCCGTAGATTCTGAAAATTTTTGAATTTTCATTGAAACAATTTTTAGCCTCTTGAAAGACCTGCTATTAGCTTTTAAACCTTTCGAATATATCGTAAACCGTTCAAAGAGAAAGCAAATAAACCCTTTTAGATGTTTTTGCGGAAATGTTTATCTTGCAAACCCAGTCGAAAGTCTCAACTTACATAAGGAATTTATTTTTTTGATGGTGGCAGAGAAAGCATGCTCGATCCTAGAAAAATGGTCTATTTTTTTTTCAAACCAAAATTTTAGGAAAATTTAACGTTTAAGTAGCGATAGATGATTAGGTTTGGAAATAATTTAAATTAGTTTGGAAGGCAGCTTTCGTAGATCCGTTTGGAAATTATCTTAAATTATCTTTGCTAAGGTACAGATAATATACAGACTAATTACATGCTTTTCGATTACCAGGTTATGAAAGTTAAGCAAAAAATTGATTGAAAGTTAAGTCAAATGCAATTAATTCGCCAATGTTCCCAGTGTTCCCAAAGTAAAGCCTTCAACTATTTCAAAATTGTAAGCTTTTTGCCCTTCTTGCTCATGAGTTCTGGCCAATCTTGATTTCTTGCACCATGTTCGCGCTCATTATCTATGCATTCGTTAAACACACGCTGGTCTGCTATCCTAACATAACAATGAAGGCTTCTTGTATTCGATATCAGCTTTAGAAAGGGACACTCCTTTGATAAGTTTTGAATGCTCGTAAGAAAGAATTAATAATAGAGAGCAACTGTCTCTGAAGAATATGTCGATTATCATTGCACCTTGTAGGTCCGTCTTTTCAACAATTCCTAGCCTTTATGCAATCAAGCCATCCTCTAATGGCTTATTGACCCATTACGACTTTTTCTTTTATGATTGGCTCAGCTTTAGAAATTGTTTTCGGCAAAGTTACTCAACCATGGTATTCTAATTTGTAGCGTTGGAGAAAGCCATAGTACACTGTACTGATTTCATCTTTTCAAATTTGGTACGCTTCCTGCTATTACAGTGTAACTATTCTTCATTACCGACAACACTTCAGTACCTTTTTCCTTTTTTTAATCCAGATTGTTTCCATTGTTTTAAAAGTGATAACTAGCCAGCTATAGCTCCCAAATAAAGAGAGCCGCCATGAAATTTTGGCACGCATCCTCTTAGGATTAAAACACTTTAAAAATAATTGGGTTTGTTGTTGTTTGTCAGTCCCCAGACATATTGCGCGATATTCTATCGTCTATATATAGGTCTTCATTAACTAGGATTACGTTATAGTCTTAATAGAGCTCTGTTAAGGTAAGTGATTTTTGGTCATTGAAGTCTGTTTTAACTTCATGTTCTTGTTTTCGATGAGATAAGTGATGAAAATTTGATACTTATAGTTGAGGCTCCTCCTAAAGCATCATAGGTTTTTTGTGGTAGACGATATACGTATATATTACACATATACCAACCTAAAAGATCTATAGTACTCGCCCAAGCCCCTTGTGTTAGCGCTTAAAAATTTCGTTGCCTTCTTTGGTTCCCAAGATCAGGTGGTATCCAACGTTACGAAATGTTCGCCAAACATCTGATGCCTAAGTCTGCAGATGGCCGTGCCCTTGTCCCAGATATGATGAGACGTTTCGCCCGTCCTATATTTTTTAGGTAATACCTGATTGAATTTCGGTCCGCATGGAAAACAGTCTCTATACCGGAAGGTTTTGTAAATCTTTTTGGTTGGTGTTGTCTTGCACTCTGCTTTCAAGGGCTTGCTAACATTCCCTGTGGTCACTGCAATAACAGCCTCTTGCTGGCTTGTGGTTAGCAAGTACATGTATATACGTATCTCTTTTCCGCGTGTTTTATAAGTGATCGAAAGTTCACCGCGAACCGTTGTGTTATATATTTTTATCTTGATACTGATAAGATAAATCACTAATGTTTTCTTCATTTTTTTTTTTCTTATTTTTATTTTTCTTTCTCATATTATTATTTGTTGATAAAAACTTTTAGTTTAGCTTATCTCATATGACTGTCAAGATATTTCTCAAATATTTCTCATTTATTTAATACACCTGGCCACCTTATGCACTTGATATTGCCTTCTCGCTAGTTACTCATAATGCTAAGTGTTGCTGCCAAATATTTGTTAGTTAGTGTAAATTTATTATAACTATGTAATATATTTTTTTGCGCCTAATTAAGTGCAACAGACTTTTAATTAACATTTTCTCTCTTGGCCATTTTTCTTTGCGGTCTGAGACCGTGAATCTTGTTAGTAAGCGCACAAAAGTGGAAATAAAATACTGCGGGCGATAACTTGCTTTTGTCTTCAAGTGCAATAATAAACAAAGAAACAAACAAACGCAAATAACAAGAAAAATGAAAAAAAAAAAGAAAAGAAAAGCGAAAACGAAAACGATGCCATATAAGTTACAGCGGTTTATAAATCTATGCGAGGGGGCGGGGAGGGTGTGCATATGGAAATGGAAATGTAAGTAAGCGCGCGTACGCGTATGTGTGCGGTTTGAGCATGACTGCTGTTTCTTGCCTTTGCTGCGTTGTGTTTTTTTTTTTTTTTTTTTTTTTGGTTTTAGTTGCCAAGGGCATTTAAATAACGAGCATTTAAGCGGATTAAACTTGAGCTTATATATTAACTCGCTACAACATGTCGCGCGCGAGTTCTTTGCTCTGTCTCCCACACTCTGCGTAGACACTGCTTCATTATCTTTGCAAAGTCATTTACATTGTTTTCATATGTAATTGGCTAGCCCGTTGTGTATCTGGGCGTATGTGTGTGTCCGTGTACATGTATTTGCAATATATATATATATATATATATACATTTTTTTTTAGAAACTATAAAACAAGGGGAAAATTAATGGCTGAGATTTATGGTGAAAATTTTAATTTAAATTTAGTTTAGATTTAAGACGCGAAGAAACACATAAAGATCTCACGGTAAAATGCGAGAGGCGAAAAGGTTAGTAAGTAAAATGGGAAAAATCTTCAGTATTACTTAAGGAGGACTGAACGGCTGAAAACCTGTGCACCTACATAAATAGTTGCTTTTTTTATTATAATTTAACTTTCAAGTTAACAGTGTGTCGTTATTTTGTAAAATGCTATAAATTAAAAAGAAAACCAACTAAATTCTGGGCAAGTATAAGGATAAAGCTGATGATGCTGCCACAACTATTATTGCTACTACAACTACAACTACAACTACAACTATTACAACTATTGCTGTTGCTGATCTACTGCATTGTATGGTAACTATTTGCGGTAATGCCGAAATAACGGAAGTGTTGCTTGGCAATGAATACTTAAGTTAAAACGGATAAATGGTTAGCGTTCATAAAGACAAACAGCGACATAAAAGGAAACGGATAAATACCATCGCTTGGTGATGGTTGATGATGGTTGGCACTCTGATAATGTAACGCAGAAAAATGCTTAGCAACATTCAAACAAAAAAAAAATTTATGAAAATTAAACAAAGAAATAATAGAAAATTCTCTTTTACCCTTAGCTGCAAGTTAAACTAAACTAAACTGAGCATTACTGAGCATTTCATTCATTCAAAGACTACAGTGTGAAGTTGCATTCGTATGGTGTATGGGTAAGTAAGTAACTAGTTTAGGGCTTAACTTGTGATGATGATGTCAGTCAATGTGCAGTTAAATTAAGCAATTTCTTCGCCATTGTAATCCTTTAAAATCCCGGTTTTTCTCCCCCTTCGACAATTTACACTAATATGCATAGAAACAAATTTGGAAAGGAAGTGTTTCATATCCTTAGCTGGTGCAATTTCTATATAATGCAAAATTTTTCTTAAATTTCCAACCGCTTTATTTCTCTGACCGTTATCATCATCGTCGTCGTCATCATCATCAT